ACAACTCTCTCCAACGCCTGTCATCACCACTGAACCCCTTGTCAAAGGGGGTACCCCAAGTGCCTCTAGAAGGATCTCCTTCTCTCCCAGTAGGTCAGTGGTCATCCAAGATGCTGGCAACTCAAGGGTAGTTCCTCTGATACAGATCAAAATTAACTTTTTTGTTGGCCTTTTGTTAATCTATATGAGTTCCCTAATCCACTTCACCACTGAGAAACAAAAAAGGAGGGTCAACACTGAGGAAAAATACATCAGCCAGGACTGGGGCCAGCCAGACCACTTCTTTCAGCAGCATCCCTGGCTTAAAAAGACTGTGAGCCTATGGCAACAGCACACGCCTTCAACAGCTTTGAGACACATATTATCCCCATTTTATAAAAAACAGGCTGGAACTATTTTCATATTATCTAAATGGCAAAACTCCCATCATCTTCTATAAGAGCAAGACTGGACCAAATGTTGAAAGTTAAACAAAAAAACCCACGACTCAAACACAAAAACTAGGAAAAAGTCTGCCAATACATAATCTTCATATTTATATTATTTCAGTTTCACTGCAACAAACAGTACATAGAAACCAGAGACTGTTTCTTTTTTCAAGGAGACATTTTGGGCAGGCTGCATTCTGGGGTTGGTTCTACTTGTTAGTACTTTAAAATGAAAGGGCAGGGTCACCCATCAGGGAAAAAAAATGCATTTTAAAACACATGCAAAAAATATGAATTCTTTGATACTTTATGGTCAAACATCTGCTAAACTACTACTTTCCTTCAATTATGGGATTCTCAAAGCAACAATTATATCTGTTTTCCTCAGAATTTGGGGGATATAATCAGTACCACCAGAAATCAACACAGTCTCTCTATCTATATCTGTATGTTTCGCCAGTGTTGAAACATTGGAAATGAGAAAAGGACATTGACTAAATATGGTAAACCTCCAGTTTGTCAGCTCCCTAAACTGAGCACTTTCTAACATTCAGTCCTGTTTGTTACCTAAGAATCCATTTCTTCGAGGTGGTAACCATTTTCAATCTCTGCTGACTTCTGGAAGTCCAGGTCACTCTATGTTTCATGTTTCTCCTCTCCCTGTCACTAAGACAGACATGAAAATTACTCCCTTCTTGTAAGGAGATCAAAGGAAGTGAAAACTGTCTCTTTGACCCAACAACTTCAAATCTTGGGATACACTGAAAGCAAAAATGTTTTTTTTCCTCTTCAATAAAAAAAATTTAACATTTTCTGTGCTGCCCCTTTTTGCTGTGTAAATCAGACTGAATCTAGAAACTTGACATCCTGGCATGTTGCCCAGTCCTGAATAAGAAAACAGGAAAATGTGGATTTTATCCACAAGATCACAAGGTACCGAAAAGCCTCCTGCACATCATCAGAACTGTTCCAACCTCAAGTGAGCCAACCAGCTCTATGCCAAACTCACAGCTGAGCCAAAGTGGGCAAATCCCAGCAAATCCAACAAATGGGCAAAGCTCTGTCCACATCCCGTAGGATTTCAACCCCATAGGCACAGGTTAGCTAGAAGAGCTGCAGGAAGAGACATTCCTTGTATCCTGGGGTCAATGCTGGCTCAGGCTTCACAGCTAAAATACTGCCACTATTTAGGGCTTCCTGTTCCTGCCCCAAAGGATTGCGGATTTTTTTTCCACGTGCTCTCATGGTATATGCCAAAATGGAAAGTGAGCAGCCTCAGAGAGTGCTCCGGCCATTGGGTCATTCTTAGGAAACACTGGTTTGAATTTCCATGGACAGAAGGGAAAATAAACCCTGAATTTACAACATCCAAAGCCAGGTTTCTAACCGCTGTTAGGCTATTGCCATGTTAATAAAAAGCCCTTTAGAGCACTAGCTTGGGGAGTTGAGCTCCAGGAGGAGCTCTGAGGACAACCAGGGGCCACCAAGTCCAACATGAAGCACTAAGCACATCCAGAAAGAAGCAGCATTTCAAGTTTCTGCTAATGCTTCCTATTTTCGTAGCTCATCAGGTCTCAAGCTGGGGGGCACATAATGGGAAGGAAGGAATACAAGACATAACTGAGAGGATGAGAAAGCAAGAAATGGTCTCCTGTACCTCCTGCTGGGACGGGGAAGTCACCCCCTCTCATCTTAACCCCATCCCCTGGCCTTAAAAGACAAAAAGTCCAGCCAGTGCTGTTCTCTGGCTCTAAGTAGGCATCAGCAGTGTCAAGGAAGGAATCTGTTGGGGGCTACAGAGACAGTGGTTTGTAAATTGAGGGGTCCAAAAGGTATCCCAATAGAAACACTTGATTTAAAGCACACAACTATCAAGCTAATACCAAACACCTTCAGGGATGACCTGCACAGTTCACTTTAGAGACAGCTCTGAAGGGTGTCTCTCTGCCCCTGGGCAGAACTCGGGCGCCAATTGCTAAATCACAAAGCTGACATCTGAAAGCCAGTCTGTGGCCTTTATCTCATCCCCCTGGCAAACCTCAGCCTAGCAGCGGTAGATATCACTGGTTTGATCCCATGCAGCAACAGCAGCACAACACCAAGAGAATCAGCATCAATATGAGATGCATTATTTTGATTACAGGATGACTCACACTCCCACAGCTTCTTGGCTAAAACACGACAAATCAGAACTGCCGTATTCTCTCACTGAGGGAAATTGTTCAAATATTTCTGATGTGATTTAGGGCAGCCGCCTATCCCCTTTTCTCAGGAATAGGGCATGGTGACAATTGCTGCTTAGAGCAGAGGGAGCGGATCTGGGAATGAATTCCTCAGAAGTGATGAGGCCGTGGTTTTAATAGTCTAACCACAAATTTTTTATTCCATGCTTGGGATGAGTGTGAGTTTTTAGGACAGGCACTTTTCTGAGCAGCACACCTTGCAATTCTCTTGCCCAGACAGGCTGGCGACAAGCAGCTCTCACTAGGCGTTTCCGGCAGCCAGGCAGCCCAGTCCAGC